ATTTGCTTCTCAAATAAATTGCCCTTCATGATGGGAATAATAAATTCTGTATCTATAGATTTAATTAACTTCTTTAATCTTTCTTGGAGATAAATTCCAAAAAAATTGGACAGTGTGTGCACCAGGCTGCTACAGATGTTCTACCAGTCTGTAGTGGCCACTGTCATCTTCTTCACTGTGGTGTGCTGGGGAGGTGGCATCAGGACTTGTGGTATCAACAAACTGAGCAAGTTGGTGTGGAAGGCCAGCTCGGTGGTGTGGATGGAACTGGACAGTGTGGAGGCAGTGACAGAGAGAGAAGCTGAAAACCATCATGGAAAATCCCTCTCATCCACACTACCCTGAGCTGAGGCAGTTTATGAGCTCCTCCTGCATCTGTTGTTTTACATTTCTTAGTGCTGCTATGTCGACTGAAATTTCCCCTACGGGGGATTAATAAAGTTATGTCTTATCTTTACTTTCATTAAGACTTAAAGTTAAGATCCATTAAGGCCTTTATGTTGTCAAGACACTTAACGGAGAGACTGGTGTTCCCCTGTATTCAGCACACCACCGCTGCAGAAGGAATAACCACCCCACTAAAATGTCACACAATCTTTAATATCATTGTGCAAGTAATGATTTTAACTCTAAACTGTAACTGTAAGGCCGAGTGAATGAGAGAGAGCGAGCAGCAGAATATGATGGTGAAAGTTAGCGGAGAAAAATACTAGCCGTAAGTTTTTGTCTCGTAGTAAATGTGCAGTTTAGGTCACAGTGTGTCTGATAATAAAAGTCTGTAGTTTCCCCAACAGCTGGAAAAGTGAAGGCGGTTAGCGCTAACTAACATCTCCCCTCTACAGCACGTTGTTTGGCTGTTATGTAACGTCAGTGAAATTAGTAACGAAGCAATGTTCATTAGCTCTTCTGTATGTCATTACTTACTTAACGTTACTTGTCAAGGGTTGACAACATCTGGTACAAGCTTAGACTAAACTGGTGTACAGCTCTGTCCTGTATACATACTGTACATCCTGATAATTAACTTATAATATTTCAGTTTTCAGGAGTCTGGCTGTTAAAGAAATGAGGGACCATGGAGCTGAGGTTGAAGTAAATTAGGGATTGAAGGATTTTTTTACAGAAAGGTTAGTTTGGGGATATGCCTGAAATTATCAATGAAAGACTACTATTTAAAACTGCAAGAATAGATGGCCCTATAGTAGGGAAAACCTCCTTAAAAAGTTAAGGAGGGATAGTATCATTTGGAGAACCCGACAACTTCAAATGACCAACAATCTTCTGTAACACAGACAAAGTCACAAGTTCAAACTTGTCAAAGATAGCAGAGCAGAAGACACGGACTGAGGGGTCATAAGCAGAAGGTGAGATTTGAGCCCTGCTGGTAGTGATATTATCAATAAAAAAAGGAAGAAATTTTTCACAAAAAGCGTGGGAGGCATCAAAACAGACAGTTTGAGGGACAATTGAGTCAATACTTTTAAACAAAACACAAGGTTTGTTACAGTTGTTCAGCGAAATATTTCCTTTTAGCTTCTTTCATAGTTGTCTGATAATAACGCCAGCAGTCCCTTAACATTTGAAAAGACACATGCAGTTTATTTATACCATTTAACTGGAGATGGTCAAATTTCAACTCTTGGTGGATCAATTTTGATGGCATTTTTTTAATTTTGATTAAGTTTTTGGGTTTATTTTGAGGTTATTTATATGCTTATAATCAGTGTCATTGGTGCAATATAGTAGGAGTCCAAGACAAATTTAATTCATGGTAATTAATACATCAATAGTTAGTGTCACCACAACTACCCAAAAAAGGTAAGCTCATCATTTGGAATGCCTAACAGTAAAGCTGATGATACATGGGGCAACTTTTTGAGCAATGTTTCTGGGCAATCTTGCTAGTGGCAAGCCCGTTTTGAATGGATAGCGATATGGATCGATACACTTAATGTACTGAGACATAATGTATAGTTACCGGGTGAAATGTAGTGACACATAGTGGACACAAGAAGTGGCTCTATCTCATGTCGGGCTTGTACCCTGCCTTCATGTGGATTTTTGGATATTCTGTTAGGATTACCTGAAGCCTATTTCTGTTTATTGACTTTGTCTCGTTTGGGTTATCTGCCTTACTCCGTGTCTTGCATTTGGGTCCTCAACCTCCTCCACATTGACCAAACCCTGACAGGAGCAGCAATGATAGAAACATTGTTCAACCTATCCTAAGTCACTGCACCATCAAACAATTTTGAAGCAATTTACTTGCTTTAAAAAACATCTCCTGATTTTCTTGGAAGTATTGCCTTGTGATCGCATGACTAACCTCATGTCTCCTTGTGTTCACGTGTCACTAATCGCCTGCATACTCTGTCTTACTCTGGTACAGAACTCTTTTATTATAATATTGTGTGAGGGACTGATTAAAGCCAAACCTCAAACCACCCAGGACCGTTCCTCCCTCTTGCTCTGACGAGCTCAACCACTTCTATGCTCACCCTGACAGAGGAAACAAGGAGGTCACCACAAGTGTCTCTGAATTGCCTGCAGTTACAAACATCCCTGAAACTATTCTGTAGATATTCTGTAGGTAAACATGTCTAAATTTCAGACTAGTTATGCAATTGAAACATACAGTACAAAAGCACCCAGTTTAAAAAGCACTAAAATCACTTGCTCTAAACCCCAAACAAAAAGCCACTTTAGTCAGCGATGCAGTGACTTCCTCAAAATTTAGTGCCTGTTAGGAATGTGGATTTTGTGTTCATGTCTTTCCTGTTTAAGTCTGTCTTTGGTTCTGTGTTTCTCTGTGTAGTTTTGTTCAGTTAGTTCCTAGTCCTGTACATTAGTTAATATGTTTTGTGTTTACTCCTGGTCTTTTGTTCCCTGTTTAGTCTTGTAAATTCCCTTGTTCATTTACTGGTTCTGTTTAGCTCGTACTTGTGCATTCTTGGTTATTCACCCATGTCTGCTTGTCTAAGTGTTCTCTCTGTTACCCCTGTTGTCTCTGCCTGCCTGCCTCTCTGTTTTCCTGCTGTCTCTCTGCCTCCCTCGTTAGCCTCATGTCTGTCACCTGTGTTGCTCCCGCCCTGCTCGTTATCCCTGGTATATATGTGTGGTCTTTCTGTTCAGCCCTGGTCTGGTCATTGTTGGTGTTATTCCCTGTTAGTCGTGGCTTCAGTCTTGTCTTTCTATTTCCTGCTCTTGGTGTTTTGGATTACCTGTGTTGGATTTTGGTTTAGTTTCTCGTTATGGCTTTTTATGGATTCAGCCACTCAGTATGTAAGTGTGCTCGCTTTTTGTTTGTTTAATTAAACCACTGAACTATACCTGCTCCGCTCTGTGTCCTGCGTTTGGGTCCTCCAACCTGCTCAACCCTGCCTCACCACACCACTTACTGTAACAGAGCCTGAGTTGGCATATTCATTTTCAAATTAAAGCTTATAGATAAGCTCTTTTGCCATTGAAACTGTGTGATCATTTTAAAAATAACTTTCAAAAATGTAATGCATCCAGTTTAAGCTGTTAATTTTAGGCTAGGTGATGGGCGTCTGTAGCTACCTGTTGGAAGCTCAGTCTTAAACCGGACTTTTATCCAGTTTTAATCCACACTTTTACACTACATTTTTTTTTATATCCTTTTATTTAACTTGAGGTTTTTGGGGTCGGTCTTAGGACCCATTTTGTTTTCCTTGTATCTGCTTCCTCTTGAACATTATCCATAAACATGGTATTTCTTTTCATATTTATACTGATGACACACAAATATTCTTGCCCGTCAGATCCACAGACCCTGGAATGCTGAGTTCACTTAACAACTGCCTTTGTGAAGTTAAAAAATGGATGTCAAATAATTTCCCTCAGCGGAACGCAGACAAAACAGAAATTCTGGTCATCGGATCCCAGCAGATGGCAAAATTACTGCTATCTGCCGGTTCCCTAGTAAATCACATTAAGCCTGTGGCAAAGAACCTTGGTGTTTGGTTTGATAGTAACTTAAATTTCGAGCAGCACACCACAAAGCTTGTTCAATCATGTTTTTATCAACTTAGAAATATAGCAAAATTTCGATCTATGTTAACTTTTAAGGACACCGAGACCATTTTACACACCTTCATCTCATCACGCCTGGATTATTGCAACAGCCTTTTCACCTGTTTAACCCAAAAATCTACTGATCGACTCCAGACTGTCCAGAACTCAGCTGCCAGGCTTTTAACCAGAACAAAGAAATATGACCACATTACCCCTATTTTAGCTTCATTACACTGGCTCCCAGTATGTTTTAGAATTGACTTTAAAATTCTATTGATCACTTTTAAAGCTCTTCATGGCCTCTCGCCTTGTTATATTTCTGACCTTTTAGTCCCATACGCACCAGCACGTACCTTGAGATCCTCGGGCAGAGGTCTGTTGTCTGTTCCAGAGTCTCGACTGAAAACTAAAGGGGACAGAGCGTTTGTTGTCAGGGCCCCGAGGCTCTGGAACAGCCTGCCCGAGAAAATCGGGTCGGCTGAGTCAGTTAAGAAGTCCCTTTTTAAAACATACTTTTATCGAAGAGCCTTTCCGATTTTATTTGACTGACTTATTTTATCCCTTTTATTTTATATTTATCTTAAACGTGTATTTTAGTCTCTTCAGTGTTTTCTTGCTTTTATCTTGTATTTTTGTATTATCGTCTTTACACTTGTTAAAGCACTTTGTAACTTGTTTTTGAAAAGTGCTCTACAAATAAAGATTGTTAAATGAAAAAATTTTACGTTTGTTTTATAAACAATACTAATGAATAAAACCACTTGTTTTCTAATGCCACCTTTTATATTTAATGCTTTACTCATATGCCACAATAGATTTTGTTCAGTTAAAATATCTTTTTGGGGCTTTTCCAAATATTGATATGTTCTTATTTAATATCAGTTAAATATATCTGCCTACAACACATTACCCAGTAAATATTTCTCTAGATCTACCCCTCCAGACATGAGCCATTTCATTCTCACCACGTCAAGTTCGGGGACTGCCTCCATCACCTCCACCAGCTTCTCAATCTTCGTCTCCTTCGTAAACACAAAGTCATCATCCACCCACAGGAAGTATTTGGTGGTTACCTGGGAGACAGCCAAATTCCTCCCAGCAAACCAGCCCTGTCGGAGGGAACATGTTTCACATTTTTAATCCATCCATCGCCAACCGTTTATCCTGCGTACAGGGTCGCAGGGGCCTGGAGCCAATCCCAACTGACATCAGGTGAAAGGCGACGTACACCCTGGACAGGTCGCCAGTCCATCGCAGGGCCACACATAGACAGACAACCACTCATATCCACACCTAAGGACAATTTTGGAGAGACCAATTAACCTAGCCTGCATGTCTTTAGATGGTGGGAGGAAGCCGGAGCACCCGGAACACACGGGGAGAACATGCAAACTCCACACAGAAAGGCCGGGGCAACCGGGGTTTGAACCCACAACCTTTTTGCTGTGGGGCCACCCACATTTTTGTCCAATATTTTGAAATGTTCATTCAACAGACAAATATGAAATAAGTTGTCAATAAAATAAAAATAGTAATTGTAATATTTTTTCCAAATTGTTGTGATGTCATATGTGATAAAACCTGTGAGCATTCTCCAAAATAAATCCCTAATGTATACAGGATAGAAAAAATTCTGTTTTATGATAAATTAAATAACTGAACTGAAATATATCATCACAACAAGAAAGGTCATTTTTAAACAAATGAGGCAACTGAAGGTGTTTAAATGTCTTCACTACCCACAGTTTAGTTCTATGCTATGCTTCGTGTGTTGTATAATAATCATGTCCTTGTTTTTGTTTGTAGGTGTGTATTTTTAATGATCCCTGATTCATATGTCTCAAATATGGTAGAATAGTTCTTTTCTATTAAACATGAATGGTATTAATACTTTACTGACACAATTTAAATGTATCAGTCTGAAATCTGGGGACTTTTCATAGATATTTTAGTCTGATACATCTCTAAACTGACAAACCAAAGCCACTTTAGCCCAACATTTTCTTCTTTTGTGTGATCATATGGATTACATGTGTGGTATATGTGTTAATGTAATACAATACTGCCCAAGTATGTGTGTATACCTGCGCTGGAGGCATGATGTATTGCTTGGTGTGTTCTTCAGTAATGTGTTCTGGTTCTATGCTGTCATCTGCTATGATGACCTCTATGTTGGTATAGAAACGCCGGATGCTACTCAACAACACCTTGAGTTGTGTGTAGCGCAGGAATGTCTTTGTGGCAATGGTGACGTGAGAGCTGATATCTGAAAGACAGAGAGTTACAATAAGCAATAAGACAGAAACACACCTTTTGTCTTTACTATCTACAGTGTTACATGAGCATTTTAAGTTTGCGCTAGTGAACTGGAGACCAGGAGAATTCCAGAGCTCTTCACAGACTTCAGACCACCCAACACTGTTCCTCCCTCTAACTCTGACGAGCTCAACTACTTCTATGCTCGCTTTGACAGAAGAAACAAGGAGGTCACCATTAAAGTGGATCCACCTGAGGCAAGTTTCTCTCAAAACATTTTATTACCGTTTCCGGGTTGAACTCAGCCCTGGTGAGCTGCCTCTCACACAATCCACCTCAGACGTTTTCTCTACTCTGAGCAAGGTGAATGTACAGGAAGCAGCTGGCCTTGATGGAATACGTGGACAGGTGGAGAGCAGTTGACCAAGGCCTTACAGACATTTTCAATCTGTTCGGGGACCAGGCAGTTGTCCCAAGTAGTTTCAAGACTGCCACCATCCTACCAAAGCACTGCTTCTGCCTTTGATGACTTCTGTCTTGTCGCTCTCGTCCCCATCATTGCCAAGTGCTGCGAGAGACTGGTTCTTTCAAACTTCAGATCCTGCTTACCTGACTTTTTTGAGAGCACAAATTGGCAACACATTCTCATCTCAATGAATCATAACTGACATTTTCAGACAGCATGACAAAGTGTAAGGATTTTATGCTAAAGGTACCCTTCAGCGTCCGTATGAAACGCCCCCGTTTGCTAAGTTGCAGCAACACAAGGGAGGCTAACCCTACCTGTTAGCACATTGGCCGTGAGTGTAGGGTTAGCCAGTCGACATGCATAAAGTCAGCGACTTAGGTTTAGGTGCCAACATTTCTGATGGTTGTGGTAAGGGTAGGGGCTTCGGGGGACTGTCAACACCTTTATCACGAATGTAGCTAGCTAGCTAGCTACTGCTAGCTAACTAGCACTTCCAGTATCAACGGAACGCCCCAGAGTGTCTCATAGAGATGCTTCCGGAAGCGTCTCATAAAGTCAAATAACTAAGCTTTGTCACTCTTTATCAAATCATCGGTATACGACGCCCTGAGATGAGGAGAACCACATCTACCTTAAGTAATATACAGCAACGTTGACATCATACATCAGCAAATGTGTCAATGTGGTAATCACTAAGACGTTAAAATCATTCCCCAATCAGAAGGCCTGGATGAATGGAGAGGTGAGGCGATGCGGAGACATCAGCAGAGAATGGAGTGAGACCTCAACACCAACAACACTAATGATATGTGGCAGGAGATCAATAACATCAAGGCTACAAAAGCAGGAGCTCCCTCATCAAGTGTGAGGCCACATCACCAAACACATTTTATTCTCGCTTTGATCTCCTAAAAGAGTCAGCTGTAAAGTCTACTCCACCTCCAGAGGGCCGGCGACTGTCAGTATCCACAGAACAACCTACTGCTCAACATCAGTAGAACCAAGGAGCTGATTGGGTTTTTTCCAGAGAAAGGAGAGAAAATCACACACTCGCTGGTAAAGAAAGCTCAGAAATGGCTGTATTTCTCAAGAGAGGCCAACTGCAGATCTCCACTGTGGAACCACTTCCGGTGCAGGCTCCTCTGTCAGGTAACCTCTATTGTCAGGAAAGGAAATCCATGCAAAAAATACAACATAAAATCGTGCTATTTGACAGTAAACGGGTTCAAAAAGTTAAATTATTTAATCATGTAGACACTTATATGGTTTTGTCATTGATCTATATTTAATTAATTAGTCAACATTGTAAGTAAATACTAGCAGGCTAATTCCTTAAATAGCATAGCATATTGATTTTAGTCTATTGTATTTAGCACTTAACGTGCCAATGTAGCAACAAAGCCGACTGTATTTTGCTTCAATAATTCAGCTAGTAACAGTATCTTTGTTACAGGTACTATTTATTTATTCTGTCAGAAACGGACGTTAACTCCATCCATACAGCCAGCCACGTCAATACACAGAAAAACATAATGTTGTTAATTAAGAGTGTAATTTAGCCTGTCTTCCAGTCTTCTGGAACCGTGTGAACTGGAATACAGTATTAATTTGAGCTGTAATATAACGAACGTTACCAGAGGAGATTTATAAATAATATCAACTACTGTAATAATACTTTTACTCTACTTACACGGTTAGAAAAGGGGTGGGCTGCAGTGACTGATTTGCATTATGCAAAACATTTTTAAAAAGTCTGAATGCATAGGTCTCAGCATGTTCCATCACTATCAATATTTGTAAATCTAAATCACGCAAATTAGGATAGATCTATGGGAAGAGTCCTTTTTTTCTGTGGATAACGTAAACTGTTTATATAACCGTGTGTATTAGATCTCTCACTGCTCCAAAACAGCTGATTCAAACTATCAATTATCTATCTATTCAACTCGTTATGAATCTGGAAGCTGCTTAAACCATCTGTGTTGAAGCAGGGAGAGATTAAATTATGCAGGACAGGGGGTAACCTTCTCCAGAAGAGGGTTGGGATTCACTGTCCTCAATTCAACTTCGATGAATTCATAGAGTTAGCAAAGTCTTCACTCTTTTTAAGTGTGAAAAAGCTACACCAAACGACAAATAACCCAACTTACTTACACGTGTATCTGTAATTTGTGTGACTTAGATGTACAATTTTGACAGCGGTAACTATTTTGATGGCGAACACATACCAAGATCAGTGCATTCAGAGTTTTCTCAATGTTTTGGATAATGCTAACCAGTCACTTACCATTTTCACGACGTGGAGTGTAGCGAAACAACCGAGAATGCATCACGTTACATCCTGTGGGGACGTAAATGTAAATGCTCCGTATTTGTATAGCGCCTTTCTAGTCTTTTCGACCACTCAAAGCTTTTTTTACACTACATCTGCATTCACCGTTCACACACATCCATACACTGGCGGAACAGCCACCAGGGGCAATTAGAGGTTCAGTACCCAGCCAATACCTCTTCACCCTGCTGCCTTCTGCCCAGAGGTACAAAAGCATCTGTTGTTGCACAACCAGACTTCAGAGCAGCTTCTTACCTAAGGCTATGAGACTCCTGTAACCTGTAAACTGTTTGATTTCTATGACTAATTATTTATTCACCACGTACTGTAGAACAGAAAAACCTTTATTGTCATTGTACAAAATATACAATTTACATCTGCGTTAACTTGCCTGTCTGCTTTTCAGTAACTTTACTATTTTTAAAAATAATAATAATAATAATAAAACTTACGCTGCTACAATTATTACTAATCAAATTAGTATTAATGTTCATTTTCTGTACCACCATCTTGATCTCAATGACTAATGATTAAATAAAGATGGTACATATGAATGAAGGAATATCTTGTGGCGGAATCAGTATTCTACATTGTTCCTTTTGTATTCATGAGTTGTGTTAGTTATTTAAGATGATCAAATACACGATCATAGGTGTCACTTGTCCCCGTGTCCACCACTTTTTGAAATAGCTGATTTTGAAAGGAAGTTTTCTGAAAAACTGTTATAAAAATACTAAGTATATGAATAAGGTTTACTTGCACAACAACAACACAGATCTGCCTTGTCCAAAAAAAAAAAAACTTAGGCTAAAGAACCAAGCTACTGGTGACTGCATTATATTGTATAATATTTTTTTATTCTGATTTGTCACTGGCCACCTGAATTTTATTTCCCTTCATATAAATAAAGATTTCCACTATAAATTGGTGCAAAAATGTCTCTAGAATGCAGGAAATTAATTGAGCATTACATTAAGAGTTTAATGGACTAAGTGTTTCATCACACACACCTAAAATGAGCCGTTAAATGTCCCCATCACTTTAACACAAAGTGACGCCCTTGTACACGATCACTGTTTGTGTAGCGCCTTGTAAAACACTGTTCTAGCCGCATTCCTTAATGACATGTCACCTTGATATTACTGATGTTTTTCTTAATATTAACATTGTGAATAGCCGGTGGGTGAAACAGGGCGAGACACTGTGCAGTATTGCACAAGACAGTGCTCTGATGAAGCTCAGCATTGATCAGGAGGACTGCGCCTTTACTCTGAACAGTTTCACTGTATGAACCTGGACTGTGTGTGAGATTATTTGGATGTGTAGAAGAGCAAAGAACATTTGCTAATTAATTATTCCTGACATGTCTTAACATTTAAGAGACTGAGATCGATTTCCAAATCACAGGCAGGAGGACGGAGGAGCGACGAGACGAGGAGGCACAAAATAGAGAAATGAGAAGAGCCTTGAGAAGCAGCACTTTCCTGCCATAAGTAATTGACTATTGACTTGTTTTTTAACCCCCAGACCACCATGATGATTTAATTCCTACCTGTTCCCATGTCGTACAGGACCGGCAGGTGAGGCTGTTTGATGGTAATGGGAAACACGGCTTCATGGTTCTCAAACTGGAAAGATGCTATGTACAGAAAAGGACAGCTGAGTTGTGCATTAGTAGTAATACATTAGTTAATTATGACATTTAGGAAACAAGGTGAACTCAAAGTAACCTGCAGTGAATCTAAGAACACCCAAACATTTTCCACAATAACCAGTTTCACTGATTCTAGCTGAACGTTACACACAGGACATATATTTGTGCACACACAGGTCTGTGCAAAGCATTGACAATTGAACTAATTCCTTTTGATTACATTTTCTGTATCAGGACTTATACATGTCATCGTGTGCATTTAATTTCTGCAACTGCATTTACTGTAAAATTATATATATATATATATATATATATATATATACTGTTATCTAGCTCAGTTCCAATTTCTTACATACATACCAAGGTCTCCAGTGAGTATGTGGTAGATAGTGCTGGTATATGACACTTTAGCCAGCAGGTTGTTGAGGATCACCAGGCTGTTAGACTCCATTATCAGTCTGCTCTCACCATCACCTGTAGTTTACAGTTACAGGATTTTACAACAGTGAAACAGCTGTTAAATCATATTCCTTTTTTGTATGTATAACCTTTGTTTTTGTGAATTGGATAAAGTCAACTACAATTTACTGTCGTTATAAAATCCTGTTTTGTAAAATGAATCAACCTAGTCCTTTCAACAGTCTCAGGTGTTAACACAGGTACTTTTAAGACATTTAACTAACCGCAGTTCTTGTAAAATATTTTTCTATAACTTGATACAAGTTATTCCGATGTGATATCAATAAAAACAACTTATATTGGTTTAGAGTTGATGGAACATTCATTTTTACAACATGTGAAAACGACTTGACAGAGGCTGAGGTCGATGTACAATAGAGTTCAGCGAGTGGAGTTTGTTGTGTAAAACTTTGGATCAGGGTCATTGAACTGTGGAAGCATTATGACACTGTTGTCACAACAGATAAAAACCTCAATGGGTAAATTCAGTGTAGAGATCAATAAAACCAAACAGGCTGTTGGTTTATTGCCGTTTTCAGATTACTTATAGTACTTTATGTGTGAGACTGCATTTCCAAAGCAAGCATGTAACTTTGTCTTTGAAGAAGAAATAACAAAAGATAAAACCTTGGTTCCGGGCGGGTTCGAGTCACTGTTTGAGGACGGTGCGCCCCTAATACACTTGAGTTAGGAATGATGCACTTGATCGCGCTTTTAAATTCACTGATTTTTCTATAAATAAAATGCTACACAACACAAATTATTGTCAACTTTTATTTGCTTAGTTGCTTAACCAAATCAGACTTAGTCACACTCATCCAAGAACTACAACCTATGTGGTATTCGTTCTGGAATCTCAGTAAGAATCTCACCTTGGATCGTCCCCCCTTCAGCTGGAATCTCTGTGGTCAGGACACCTTTGGACACACTCAAGGAGACCTAGTGTAGACACATGTGAATAAACTACAGTGCACATTGCAAACATCTGCATTTATTATTATAACAGAGAAAATGTTCATAGTTTATATTATTGTTATAATTTATATACATTTTTACAATAATTTTCAATGTGACTCTATAGCATCACCCTTACAGTTGCAATAGCCACTTTTATGGGAAATTCTACAGGTTGAAATATACCAGATTGTTGCGTTAAGTTCATTATGTTTTATATGTAGTATATCTAATACTGTGTCATGAATTTGTTAGAATTTCCAAAACATCTACGTAGCAGCTACCTTCATCAAAAAGCCAGAAGCTTCCATTCTACCACCTGCATACAGTGCTAAACATGAATCATAATGACCTCATACTTTCTTACTATCCTGTTATACAAGGAGACACATTCGTTTCAGGCTCTGTTGACTTTCCAGCAGCTAATTTACAAAATGTAAATGATCAAGGAAGAAAATCCCCATCCATCTAACTTTCTCTTTACTAATTGTTCACATGTAATGTTTTTGTTTCCAAAAGAAACCAAAGGAAAATGGTATTTTTGGACACTTAGGGTCCATTTAATTATTTTTTAAATCAGTTCTATAAATGATTACTCTTATTGTTTTTAATTATTAGTATTTATTCATTTCTTAAGCTAAAATGCCAGCCCCACACCAAAGCCACAAATTCAGATCAGAAAGTCTGCAAGTAAAGGATGAGCAGTTGCACCATTGGCCTTGCAGTCAGGTTTCATTTATTAAAGTCTTGGTCATACAGAGCGGCAAATAAGAGTAGTAAATTGGGTGTGTCGCGTTGTCTGTGAGACTAGACCATCGATGTATAATGCTGCCTGGATATAGTGTCGCTGCTCAGCCTTCCAATTTTACCATGTAGCCACTCACAATATGGCAGCGAAATGTTGACCTGCACCCCAAAAATCATTTTCACCTTAGACCATTAAAGAGGTGGTATTATGCTTTTAGGCTTTTCCCCTCTCCTTCATTGAGTTATATCTCTTTTTTGTGCATGTAACAGGTTTGCAAAGTGAAAAAGCCCAAAGTCCAGCCCAAAGGGAGTTCCCATCTCCCACAGAAAACTCTGCTCTGAACCGCTTGCAAAACAGCTCGTTTGTAGTCCAGCCCTTCACTTCCTTTACTTGTGACGTCACAATGAAAACGCCTCATAAAGCTTGCCAAGCGGCTAGCGGGGTCAGGCACGCCCTCAAACCAAGCTAGACTGAGCGGAGGCCCTTTGGCTCGACTCGCCTTTGTTTGGTTTTCCATTGTAGAAATGTTGCACCTGTACCTGCTTCCAGGTACTTTTTTCATATCACCTCACCTCCGTCCAGGTTTCAAGCAAGCTGAGTGATACTAAAATGTAACGTGAAAACACGACAGACTGCTGATTGGTCAGAGAGAATATTCACTATGCACTGCATCATCATTGAACCAGACAGAGGCCAGCAACAGAAAGTTTTATATTTTAAAGTTTTCCTCACCAAATCCACTTCTGAGAAGTTTTGAGGTGACAAATCAGCTGTGAAGAGAAGAAGTGATGGCAGAACGGACTTGAGGAGCTCTGCAAGTGGCTGCGGGGGAAGCCTGCGCCAACCCGCGGGAGGAGCGTGTGAGGCCGGCCAGCCGCCCGCTCACAGAGCCCTCTGCTCCCGCCGTCACACAGACCGCTGCAGCAACAATGGCAGAGGAAAACACAGCTGGAAGGTTTTCATACCGCTTATCTGTCTTTACATTCTGAGGAATGTTGAAACATTTTAACTTAAAAAAGAGAAAGCTGTGTGGATCGCTGGTGTGTGTGTCGCATTGAACAATATGTCGCGGCAGTTGTGTGTGGCGTCGAAGATTTTGAACCTGAAAATGAGCATAATACCACCTCTTTAAAAAGAGACGTCAGTAAAACTGTTGACAGGACACCTCAAACTGCAAACAAGGGAAATTATGATTATTTCTAAGTTTTAAATTTGTAAAATTCTCCTCACTTCAAAAAAGCAATTTAAAAATCTGTGACATCATCACAATGGAAAGTCTACTGGCCGAGAGGGAACTCACAGGTGGGGCCAGTGGGATGAACACTATTGCCATGACATTTTGCTACTTTAAACGCTGGTGTGAGCAAGCCTTTTGAGTTTTTGAAAGATAATGCGAATTACTCAGTCCTGTTCATAGTAGTCAAGTTATGCCATGGTATTCACCAGGGAAAAGTTGTGTTTGCCTGACATTAAGTCAATGATGCAATTATTGGAGAATAATTGCAATAATCCCTATTAGGAAAATTTTACTTTATAATTAATACATTTTTTATAGAAAATTAAAAAGGTACAATAAAACCCACATAACGGCTTTCAAAATCAAACCCATACCCATCTTTTACAGGACCTGTACACCATAGGACCCCATCACCAAGTTTGACACCAAGATGGCTGCTGTACGGAAATAATGTAAAATAAATACATCTGCCTTTACAATATTAGCACAAAGCCAACTAATTATTTCTTTGAAAGCCTGAAAGAACATGTTTTTATCAATACTTAAATTACGTTTATGTGGAAAGTTCACGCAGCTTTCCCCAATGGACATTGTTTTGCATGAGTCCTCAATTCCCCAAATCTCTACAATAAAGGTGGTGAGTGCAAAGAGCTACAGTGTCACAGTGGCCACTTTTATTGGAAACAGCGGCAGGTTGAAATATATATATTTCTCTTCATTATGTTTTATATGGTATATCGTATCAGTAATTTGTTATTGTTGAAAAAATCCAGCAGCCACCTTGTATCAACCACCCAGAAGCTGCCATTCTACCAGACTGATCTGGGTGAGAATGACCAGTTGATCTGTTCATCTATGGGACCAACCAACCTTGTAGCTGCTTCTTTGTCCTGCATGCAGCGCTAAACCTGAAATCAAAATGACCTCATACTTTCATAATATCCTGCTATACACCCAAGGACACACACGATCATCTCAGGCTTTGTTTACTTTTAAACAAGCTTCCTTTCACTGTACTACGGTCGCTCTACCCTGATACTCAACTGTCAGTTCATATTGCTGTCTCATTTGCTGAGGTATTTTTTATTGCTCATCACCATTTTCAGTTACCATATATTTCTATGATCACAGACACCCATGAGTGTGTGTTTTAAGATTACATTACATGACAGTTTATTTCAATATTCCAGTCATGCTGCAATCAAGACTTCATGAAAACACTCTTTATTTAGTTCTGCTGGTTTATCTCCCCAAGTCTGTCATCCAGCATTGTTTTTCACTGTATTTAGTATAATGTAAAAACGTCAAATGCTCTGTGTGACATACCTGGTATGGGAGTGGTGGTCAAAGGTCGTACTATAAGTCCCTGGATGGGATACTGCAGAGGAGAGTTGGGCAAAGCAAACAGCTGTCTGGATAATAAAGACGTTGTCCTGTTGAGTCAGGGACAGATATCACTTTTGTGGACATACCCATAAAATTGGCAAGAACAAACAAGGAACTGGTCCTTGCTGATATTTTTAGCAACCAGCAAAGCTAACAATACAATTGGGCAAGTGAGTGTTCAGACTGAAAACAGTGCTGCATTAATACATTACTGCGCGCATGGAGCTTCAGGTAACCAGTTAGACAATGCAAAATACTTAATACTGAGATGTACGTATTGTAGCATGTCTAACCTAGCTATGAATTTTTATAAATTTATGAGTGTCGGTGCTGATCGGCCAATCCAGTGGAGTGGTTTTGGGGATCAGTGCGTCATTTGGAGGTGGTAATTAAAGCACAGAATCAGGTTTCTCGTTCCTTGATGTATTCAGACAGTGAGATAGGCAGAAGTCATCTCACCTGTGCCCAGATCGTCAAGTTCTAAAAGTCAAGCAGTGGCTCAAAGCGGTTAAGGAGGTCTTTGCCGATGAGTAGAGGAATGGCGTCAAATGATGAGACATACACGTCTCATGAGGTCCATGGGACCGATAGACACGTGGATTAATGTCATGGCTGTCAAATTGAAGTTCTTATGGCCGAGTGGCTGGACCTCAAGTTCACAAGTATGTAGTTTCAGGTCATTGTGGGAGCAGGTCATAGCCTGTAGCTGCCTGAAGAGGGCTGATGACATTACAGTGATGTCTGCGGCTGAATCAAGAAGTGCTTCCTGCACCAGAGTGTTTTCAAGTGTTACAGGCAGGTAGAATTTCCGTGAAACTCCCCTTTCAGTAAGGTGACACAAGAACTGTTGGGAGGGCGGACTGCCCTGAGTGGCTTTGGACTCTGAGAGGATTCTCTCTTGAGTCGGACTGTACCACCAGGAGTGTGCTGGAGGGAGCGGTTCTCTCAGTCCATCTGTGTGAGCGTGACGGTCGTTTTGACAAAGTGTCAGGAGAAGGGGACTTTGGCTTTGCAGCAGCTGCGGCCAAGTGCTCTGCCTTCTTATCTTCCTGTTTGGACAGGGTTTGGATTGGAGCGCTATGATTTCTTCCTTACTAAAAGTGGGTGTGTCAGACTCACCTTCAGTGTCATCGCTATTTGTGTCTCTATAGTGGGATCTCTGGAGTGTAGCTCTGAGATTGCCTGTCCCAATAGTTTTTGGATTTCTGATGCTTGTGTCCCCCTCTCTGTGAAAAGAGGCGGGTTTCACAGCGGTTGGGCGTGTACCTGGGCCGATGGGTTTCAGGCCTCAGATGATTTTGGCTCTTGTCATACCAAGATGGCTCTGAGTGACGTTGACCATGCTCATTTTGCTGAGGCATTCTGCACCTCTGCTTCTGGCTTGGTCTGTAATTCTGGAAGGTGATGCAGGTTGACGCGGTGTTTCAAGACCAGGAGCTCGTTTTGGCTCCACTTGTAGGGAATTGATGGTGAGAGTGAGGACACCATGGGGCTCAGAATGCTTCGTCATGGTGAGTCTCTGCTTTTCTAAGTCTCTGTCAGAGGGGCTTAAGTCATGGTCAACAGTTGGCGGCGGATGTAGCCGAGGGCAGTGAGCCGTCTTCACCTGAGTAAGTGGAGGGCTATTTCTCTGGCGCTCTGTCATATGATCCTGTGGGATCAGTTGTGGGAGTGGTCGTGGAGACCATCCTCCTGAGGCTGGCAAAGGGGAACAAGCCTTGTCTCTCTCTGGTGGGAGTGTTTTGTAGGAGGGAGTGTGTTGGGCTGTCTCACATGAGAGCTGGAACTCTCTTCTGGTATCAGCCCACTCCTCCTTGCTTTCCTGCTGTAGCGGGGATTGGGTTACTCTGTCCCTGTCCTCTAGCTGTCTACGCATTTCTTGCATGCATTTTTGGTCAGCTTGTAATTTTAGGTCTTTAATTTCCCCCACTGCTTGTCTAAGGAGGGTTTCTGATTGGTCAAGGGATTCAGTTGTGTCTTTAAGTTTACTTTTAGTCCACTCTAACTGAAAGAGTGAGTGTTCAAGTTGATTGGTCTTTTCCTGCAGCTCAATTTTCTCCTCGTCGACTCCACCCTCCTGTGGGAGGTGGCGAGGAGCTTGTAGTCCAGTGATGCGTTCTTCCGTTTCACTTAGTGACTGCCTGGTGTTTTCCAGCTGCTGTTTAAGCTGGTGCGTGTGCTTAGACTGGGCAGACATTACAATAGCTACTTTTCCTAGCATCCGGGACAAGGCTTTGTCCTTTGAGGAAGTGGCTAGAGCAGTTGTTACCAGCTCTGCAAAAATTGTTCCAAGGTTCACCGCATCGGTGCCTTGTATTTGGCTTGAGTAGCCAGGTACCAAATTCTCGGTCATGTGTGCCAAGATGGAGTCAAAGTGTTCCAGTGGGTCGCCCCTACTGGCTGCCACTAAGCGTGGGTCTGCCATGTTCAAAGGCAGGTACTCAAGTTGTTTTGGTTAAGGACTTTGGTGTGAATGCAAATCAGACAACAAACAAGTGTGTCAACTCAGAGGATATGCATAAAAATAAAAATAAATAAATGGGTGTTGCTCTATAGCTTCCTGGAGCTGTTGATGTGTTCCTTTAAGTTAATTTGGAAGGTTGGAATCTGAAGAAAAGAAGGATCAAAAATCTATGGACTCTCAGTTATAAAATTTGCTTCAGTACAATCAGAGTCATCAAAAGTTCATGTTACAACTAGCTTGACAATCAAAGCTCAAAGTCCTTAAAGATCAAAGTCCAAAAAAAATCTTTAATTTGAGATTAAAAATAATTAAATTTCTAAAGTCAAAGTCAATGAGAATGAACTCAATGTTCAAAGTTAAATTAACAAAAGTTGATTAGAATGGATCAAATTCAAGATAAAAATCAAAAAATGATTAAACTGAAAGTCTTAATTACCTTATGCTTCAAAATGACAAAGTCAAAATCACGGATATTGCAGCAGTAATGAGAATAAAGCTTTTTATTCAAACACAACTGGATCAAAAATTAGATAAGCGAATCTTTGAATAAAAGATTGCATCAAAATTAATAGAACTACTCAGTGTAATCCTAGGTTAGGGTACAAAATTGGCTCAGTACCTTGTTACAAGCAAACACCCAATAGATCTTTAAAAGTTAGCAGGTATTCAAGGAAAAAAGGAGAGCCTGTGCTCTATCCTACACTTAAGGAGTAACACTCCTTATTAATTTAACCTGAGAGTCAACACAATGGTTTATGTGTCTCAATCAAGTTAACAAAATCGATCACCAGAGTCTGGTTTAATTCACTCGATTCAAACGCTCATCTCTGCCACTAGTGACGCTGAAGTAGATTTAATTTAATGCCAGTAGGGGAGCTGTGGCTCCGCCTAGGGCGCGGCCTATTTTCAATGTTGAAGAAGAAGAAGCGGCTTCCTCTCTGGTCCTCGGACCCAATAGCTGTTAGCTTCAGGCTAACGCAGTTAGCAAACCGTTGTCGCAGCAACTGCAGTAAATCAGGACATTGATGGACTGGACACCAGTCCCGCTCAAAAAGGGGGAAGGATTAGCTCCTTTATGAAAATGATTCAGCTTGCTTTCAAGCTTCGATTTAGCGTTAGCTTAGCTGGGTAAGTACGACGCTACAGGCTAATACTCGGCGTCTTCACGCCTGTGACTCCACTGCCAGGCAGCTGTATTATTGAAGTAGCTAATTTCAACAGAATACCTGATCCACGGCTCAGTGCGTCAGACTGTTATTTATAGCCGCAAACAAATCACATTGGCACAGCGCAACGGTAATCTATCTGCCTCTTATAGGCCTTAAAATTATCTCAATAAATTCACAATATCAGGTTTAGTCCCACGCTAGCTGCCCGATCCTGGCTTTTTGCTAGGGATTCTCCGGGGTTCTCTGTGTCTGATTGAAGAACCTCAAGGGTTGTCCGTCCTCCGTCTGGCAATTCGGCTATTTTCAGGTTTCCTTCGTTGCCGCTGGCGAGACCACGTGGCTTGGTCTGACCTTGGTGAAGTTGGCTCGATGAAAAAGCTAAAAAAAGCACTGGTCTAATTCGTTCCTGAATTAGACCAGTGTAACTTAACGGACTGATAACTTTAACAAAAAAAATGAAAGAAAATAAAACAAGCTGCTGTTAAACGAGGGAAAAATAGATGTCGTGCCACTTCATGTGTAACTTCAAGCGAAACAAAGACTTTGTTGCGCTGGTCGAATTCTTAGGGCGTTGCCGGGAGAGGCACGCCGGAAAACAATCTTTCCTTAGGAACTGGGGAATTTAGTTATTTAGCCTTAAATTCAAGCTGGCAATTAATAGTATAGTATGACATTTCTTTATCATTTCTAAAGGAATTGTGTGAGAAAGTATTGTGAACAAGCATTGGTTACAAGATGAAGGAGTGTCCTTAATCTTGCTGAAAATAAAAACACAGCAAAAGTAACTTATTTAGATTCTTTTCAGCTCTAATATCAACAACAGATAGCAACAACATGGTAAAATAACTACTCAAATAGAGGCAAACGTAATCAAGTAACTAAAAGATTTAATTAAACAGTTAATGCTTTGAGTCTTTGGAGACTGCAGTCTTACACAAAGTTCAGGCTGTCCTGGATTTTGTCACTTAGGCGTGAAGATGGGGTAAGATCCCTTTAATGGGGTAATGAAACACAGAACAAGGTCAGTTTTCACGGTTACATGTGTGTGTGTGGGGGGGGGGGGGGGGGGGGGGGGGCAGTTTAGGGTTTCGTGAGCGTTCCGATAGGCTGTTTGTAATCTCTGGTTAGTTTGTCATTTTAACAATTCAGGCACCGAGAGACTTCTCAGCTGTTGCCAAAGGAGGCCAGTTTTACGATTAGGCTGCTCAGGAATAGCTCTTAGAGAAAGCGACCTTTCCATCCCCATTCTGTTGGGGTCTGAAAGTTGATCTCCACCCCTCCTCCTTCTCTCAGGGATAGTTTTCAGTATATATAAAATATATATAAAATGCACAAATCCACACTGTTGTCCACTACAATATTACTAATATTACTATAACTTATGGTAGTACTCTAATACTTTGTAATGAAACTTAGATCATTTGTAATACTGTTCATTTCTGTAATAGGGTATCCATGAGCCAAAAACATAAGGATAATAATGGGCAAGAATATCTCAAGGTAATTATGGGACAGAGCATCTCAGTAAGAACATTGTACAAATGTGGCAACAAAAAGCTTCTCTGTTCAGTTATCCCCTTTCATCATGATAAGGTTCTCAGTAATAATTGGGTGTATTATCCTTGCAATTAAGAAGTAGCAAGGGGAATTGTGTATATATATATATACATATAGCTATATAGTAGTAGTATATATAGACCTACTGTATATTTAATTTTCACAACATTATGGAGATGCTGTTACTTCAAGAAAATACTATCACTAATAATGTTGGAATTCCTTTTGCCTTGTGTTTCAAAATGCAAACATTAAATTGGGGCTGAGAAATACTATACCACCTGTTTCTTCTTAATTATGTGGTTATTTAAGAGACATTAGAAACACAGAGGGCACTTCCTGTGTATCATCTGTAAATCAGGACTGATCTGGTGAGTTTAACATTTTCATTAATCCATCAACCATTACCTGGCTTTGTGTTGTTGGAGCTCCTTCGCTCGGCGTTGCACCAGCTCCTCATACTGCTCCTTGGGAAGGTGGTTTTTGAGGATCACTGATTTGTCAGGACAAGTGCATGGACCAGGTGAGGGAGAATCCTTAGATGGTGTCAACCAAGTCCTGAAGGGTCACAATTGTTTTTTCTTGGTGAATTTATGATTAAAGAACAACAATAAATATTGTTGCTTGCACAGAATTACTGTAAGTTAAGTACTTAAGTTTATTTAACTCAAACTAACAAACATCTTTAACTAAGTTGATGGCATGGGTAGATATGAGGAACATCAGTCATGTCAGAAGTGTGTGGATGAGTGAGGATGAAGTGTAATGCATGTTGGTGGGTGCAGCAAATTAAACAAAGGAACAAAGGCTGGGGTTGAAACAGAAGGCCAGCAGAGAGAGTGATTTCTAGAAAGACAGCCTTTTTATGCCCTCTAGGAAGCCTAACCCAGATGGGCAGGTAGATGCACTGGACCTTCCCAGCTCTACCAACAAGCCACACCCAGAATCTGCAAAACAGAAGACATACAGGCAGGCAGACTGGGGAAGTCGTCACAGGGTTTGTACCAGAACAGGTTTACATGGTTTAATTTTCAAAAAACACCATATTTTTCTCATACTGCACATTGCTGCAGCTCCTCTTTTCACCCTGTGTTGTACGTGCCGCTCTTGAGCTACAGAGTGATGCATCTTACTTGTACAAAATCTTTGTTGGGAGTTGCACATGCGCAGTTCCCAGGTAAGGACTACTAGCCAATCAGAAGCAGAGAAGGGCGGGTCGTAAGAAACAAGGTAGTGTGATCCAAATGAAAGCCGCTTCAGACTGCGACCGTAACCTAGCAGATGGTATAAGTTACTCTCAAGTCCACAACTACACCCTGCTCCGTTTCCACTGCAGGTAGTACCCGGAGATAGTACGTAGCTTGTCGTCATAGCGACGCCCCACACAACTGCCGCGACATAATGTTCAATGCAACACACACACCAGCGATCCACACAGCTTTCTCTTTTTTAAGTTAAAACGTTTCAATATTCCTCAGAATGTAAAGACAGATAAGCGGTATGAAAACCTTCCAGCTGTGTTTTCCTCTGCCGTTTTTGCTGCAGCGGTCTGCGTGACAGCGGGAGCAGAGGGCTCTGTGAGCGGGCGGATGGCCGGCCTCACACGCTCCTCCCACGGGTTGGCGCAGGCTTCCCGCAGGAGGAGGCTTCAGGCTTCACTTGAGGAGCTCCTGAACTCCGAAAATATTCAAGCACAATTTTGTTCCGCCATCACTTCTCGTAAAACTGTCAATATTCAAAATCTACACTGCTTTTGTCACCTCAAAAGTGGATTTAGTGATGAAATTCCATACGGAAACTGTAAAATATAAAACTTTCTGTTGCTGGCCTCTGTCTGGTGCAGTGATGATGCAGTGAATAGTGAATATTCTCTCTGACCAATCAGCAGTCTGTCGTGTTTTCACGTTACATTTTAGTTTCCCTCAGCTCGCTTGGAACCTGGACGGAGGTGAGGTGAAAAAAAGTACCTGGAAGCAGGTACAGGTGCAACATTTCTACAATGGAAAACCAAACAAAGGCGCGTCGAGCCAAAGGGCCTCCGCTCAGACTAGCTTGGTTTGAGGGCGTGCCTGACCCCGCTAGCCGCTTGGCAAGCTTTATGACGAGTTTTCATTGTGACGTCACAAGTAAAGGAAGTGAAGGGCTGGACTACAAACAAGCTGTTCTGAGGTCAGTGGTCTTTTTAACCAAGTTGAAGCACTTCTCATGCGACTTCTGATCGTTGTCCCTGCTTTGAAGAGGCTGAAGACCTTAGAGCACAATCCAAAGAAGGTTAAAATCAAGGGTAACTCGGCTTGGTTGAAGATACGTTTCGTCCCTCATTCAAGAGACTTCTTCAGTCCCTTGACTTTATCCTTCTTTGGATACTATGACCTGGATGACTGGGAACCTTCACAGACTTAGAGCACAATGCTTCAAAATGGCCTGAATAGGTTAGCAGTCTGTAACACTCACAAAGAAAGACTGGATACAGCGAGCCAGCAAAACATTTGCAGGAGATTATCCTTGCAAATTAGTAATGGAAGCACGTGTGTGGTTGTTTTGTGAGGAGAAGAGAAAGGACAGCATGGATTCATTAAAATGTGTTTGAGGAAGTGAAGAAAGACATGTTCTTTACACTAAATGTTAGATGGATTAATCTTTCTCTGTCATTAAAATCATATATTTTACCTTCTTTAAATGTAAATGTTAAGCACGGAGACATGAATGTAAGAGGGATTATGCTTCTATATAAGCCATTAACATTAGGACAAGAAGAAGGTATAATCATAATGCACTTCTCATAATAAAGATTAGGGGCCTGATTTACTAAACGTTTGCCTGAGCAAAAACATGTGCAAACTTGATATCACCAGCAAATTAGCACGTAAGCTGATCTACTAACGATCTGCACGCAGAATGACGTCTTTCAAAAGTGCAAGATAGCACCTGTTGTTCATTTAGTACTTTTGCCTTAATGAATATGCAATTTGGGGAGTAACATGCAACAGCCTCTGTATTTAGAGCTTGTTCTCATCTCAGGACGTCATATACCGACAATTTGAGAAAGAGTGACAAAGCGTAGTTATTTGATGCTAAAGGTACCCTTTCAGTGTCTGTATGAGCCCCTACCCTTACCACAACCATCAGAAATGTTAGTACCTAAACCTAAGTCACTGAATTTATGCATGTCGACCAGCTTAGCCTCCCTTGTGTTGCTGCAACATAGCAAACGGGGGCGTTTCATACGGACACTGAAGGGTATCTGTAGCGTAAAATCCTTATGCTTTGTCACGCTGTCTGAAAGCGTCAGTTATAAGAATGTGTTTGTATTTAATACATTTGAAAGGAAGCTGCAAACCGCCAAGTGTTGCGCAGAGATGGCTTCTGTTATTTTTTGCCAAAAGTAGACACATCCAAAAGAAAACGTAGAGAAATTAACAATATTAGATCATATTATTCTATATCCAATATATAGAAATACAATTATTTTATTTTATTTATTCGCTGAACTATATGAATTGAATATTTTTGTATTTTTGTATTTTGAATTAACATTCATGCCAATAAAGCAAATTTCATTTCGACCTGTCTTCTCTGAGCATTTAGAAAGTTGCGTGGCGCTGCAGAGAGCCCCCTGCTACAGTAGTGCATGGATAAACAAAATTCATTCAGCCAGAGGGAAAGATCACGGCGCGCCGGTTGTAATAGCGACACAAAGGTATCGGAGAGGGTGTGTACAGGAGATCGCGGGCACGGTGCGTACGGTTGGTGATTGTTCCCTCTGGCTGGATGAAGCACGATCTGCTGGCATTTCCTCACATCTTGTTCATTGCAGCATACTATATTTGTTTCTGCTGGGGTTTCACAAAGCAATTTTTCCAGGTGTGCTGTCCCAAGTACTTGGTACAAGCAAGATGGGCAGGTACATACAATTTCCACATACAAACCAAGGTTGTTACGCTGTGGCTGCTTTCCCTCCTGACTCCCAATGGCGGAAACCATTAAAACATGCAAAACCCTCCCACCTCCACTGTGTTTGCTCCTGTTGTCATCTACGCAATAATTCTTAGTAAATCACCCATAACAGGTACTAAAATTGCACGTGCAATATTTTAGAATGCACACGCAATTTAGCACTCTTTATTCAGGATGTTAGTAAATCGGGCTTGAACATAAATGCACATTAATTTACATGCTATGTAAATAGAGGCTTTACCTCATTTTTTGTGTAGTGGGAACCTTTTCATTGAGCTCTCCTGGATAGTTATAGAATACAATAAAATAGAATGTCAGCAGGATGATCACACACCCAGCAGCAGCCACCTGAAGTGGTGGTCTGTTAGACACAGCCATCTGTAGAGAGAGAAAAATTAGGTCATGGCTAAAGGAACATGATCAATTTATATTTATAGCCATTTGATGCTTTGGTCCATAATTCCTGAACTTCTATATAACTGTCTCCATTACAAACACTCTACATTAGCAGTGGGTACCATCCACGGAAGAGTAGACTGGTTGAACAGCTACTCTGAGCACAAACTGGTTAACAGGTGCCCTGAGGAAACAGTGAACACAGGAATGTCCCATTGGTAAGATCAACACTCACACCCCCGTGACCCTGTACGCAGGATAAGCGGTTGACGATGGATGGATGGATGGATGGATCTCACACATCTCCTGAATAACATGTCATCAGCGCTGCTACTTAAGCGTATATATTCTTCCTATTATCACTTGATTTTCCATCTCAGCGTTTCCTTACAGACATGCAGCAAACCTCTCCCTTAAAAGCGCTCAAGTGACAAAGAGCCAGAGATATGGTGACATCATGCAAATTTAGCATTTAGCCTGCAGTCCTAGACAGGTCTGCCACTTCCCTTTTATTTCAACTCTATCTAAATATGTATACATTACAAATATATTCCACATTTTGCTGAAAGTAGAAGTAAGTCACTTGATAAATGTTGACGATAGCTGTTCTGGATAGCGTATACTGAAACAACGAACACCGAGGTCAATCTAAACATTATGCATTTCCTTAAATAAAGAAAGGAAATAGGAACAAAAGAAAGAAAGAGGAAGCAGCAGAGAGGTGACCATTCTCGCTATTTAGTCATGAAGGATAAATAAAACTCAAAATAGAAGAAAGTTAAATCTAAAACAATTCATCTTTACATATCACAGCTTCAAAATTAAATTTTTATTAAAATTCTGATGATCTGGAAAAAGCAAAATAGCCTGTATCATTTCATTGAATGTATTTTTGTTCAATGACTCAACACAAAATCTAACAATTTTGTGAAACTTTTATGTTAAAAGATAAATGGATGAAATCCAGAAAGTACCAGCAAATAACAATTATACATTCTTTATATCACAGACATATGGAACATTACTTATATTTAATACCTGTGCTATAGGTAACAGAAACTCACCATGAGAACAAAAGCATTAAAGGTTATGGTAATATAGAAATACTACAGTTCTTACCATTTGCTCCAGCCAAGGTTCTGTACTCCTTCTTTCCTCTTAGAGAAATAAGTAACCGTCCCACAATGGGCTGCAGGTAAAGCGGGCAGATTGCAAAATGCTGATGACGTACTTCAAATATGGTAAGAGAGGAAATGGGTAATATTGGTTCAAGGTTCAAGGTTTATGGAGTCTTCATTATTCCAATTTGATGTGCAGCAACATGTAACAAAACAACAGCCAACATCAGTAAGAAGCCGAAATAAATACATACTACACAGAAGTCCACATCTCATATTGAATTATTAAAAAAGTCTATAGCAGCAGGGACAAAAGAGTTTTTGTGTCAGTTTGTCCTGCATTTAGGCAGAATGATTCTGCGGCCAGACGGCAACAAAGTGAAGCAGCTGTTCAGGGGGTGACTTGGGTCAGCCAGGACTGATTGTGCCTTCTTGAGGGTCCTGGTCTCAGAATTTAAGTCAGTCAGAGGGTTGTGGGAAATGTTGCCACACCTTAACTATATATTGCAGCCTGTTTTTTTTTAAGAGTGAGGGACCCAAACCAGCTCACAAGGGCAAAAGAAAGAATAGTTTCACTAAAATAAAACATCCTCATAAAGGTCTTATCAACATTAAAATTGCGAATTTTACAAAAAACATGCGTTGATGTGATTTTTTACAGACAGCGTCAACTTGTGGCTCGAAGGTGAGTTTGTCATCGGTTATAATACCAAGGTATTTGTATTGCTTCACCACTTCGATAGCTTGATCATTAATGAGGGTAGAAGAGAGGGTGGGGGCATTTATTTAGTCTTTGCCACGTTAACGTTAATAAAAGAGGACTTGCTTTCTTACAGTGCAGACACTTTGCTGCTTGCTCTTGCCTCTACTTGCATTGTTTTGCTGAAACTCTCTTTTTTTTTATTCTGAAATTATGAGCAGCTACTCTTGGATACTTTTAAATCATTGGGACTGTCATCTTTTCAGATGAAGTAGGCTATTGCCATACTGTAAACACTTTTATGATGTTAGTGCCACGCGAGTGTGGCCTATCAACAGCACTAGCCTGTACTGCAGTGACTGGAGCTATAGCTAATGCTAATTAGCAACAAGATGCCCCCCTTCTCCACGGACGACTTCCACAAACTTCTTCAGAAAATTGCAGTGCTGGAAACCAAGATCTACAGGTTAGAAGTGAATGTGGAAGTGAATGGACTATTTGGTAATGTCACTACTTTACCATGGACCCAAGAGGACAATAGCATGCTAATACACGGCTAATTAGCACCAACAAGACTACCAAGAAGCAGGAAGCCTGTGTACTGGGTAATAAATCTAAAAGTGGGAGTCCTCCCTGGAACGCTCTTGGTGCAAAGCCTAAGAGTAAATCAACCGATTGATGGCTTTGAACACGTGGCTCTCAACAGCATGTACTGTCCATTCAGTGCATTTCATCGAAAACTTTTACTTTCTGTGGGACCGCAGACATCTTTTTAAGGCAGATGGACTTCGCCTTAACAAGTCAGGAGTAAAATTGTTCAGCTCCAACCTGTTTTACTTTCTGCGTCACTCATCTGTTCCCTCTGCCAAGGACAAGAGGAATCCAAACAAGAAGAAGACATAACACAACACACCAGAAACCTTGAAGGAGAGCCACCTCAGCCCCCGCTGGAAGAGAGCTTTGATCACAGGAGACATCAGAGCCAAGAGGAAGAGCCTCCACCTCCCTCACTGAAAACCAACAGTGAGGATTCAACATCTTTACCCCCCAATCCCCATCTAGGTCACCCTTATCTCCAGACAGCCTTTCACGTCATTCACTTCCTGACCTCTGTCTTCAGTCACCATGGCAACAGAGAGCACATCATCACAGACAATGGTCCACAATTCACTTATGCAGCTTTTGCCTCTTTCCTGCACAACCAAGGTATATCTCATAGTAAGGCATCAGTCTACTACCCAGCTGCTAATGGTGCTATTGAGAGATTCCATCGTGTCCTCAGAAGCTGCATTAAAACTGTGATCCAACAGTGATAAACCTTGAAAGAGACTGTAATGAACTGGCTTCAAGTGTACCATGCAACGCCACACACTACAACTTCCACCTCACTATTTAAAGTCTTTTACGGCAGCAAAATGCATACCAAATTGGACATTCTTCCCCTGCTGTCTGCCAGGTCTCCACTGGATGCTTTTGCTCGTCATTCAGTTCAGAGACGACAAAACAAAATGCCGCGTTACAATCATGCTAAACGTGGCGCACGCAAACCTTCTTTTCGACCAGGAGAGACAGTGAGGATAAGAAATCCTCATCATGTTGCAAAAGCACACCCTGGATTCACTTCCCCTGCAACGGTGAGAAAGTGCATTGGCCCAAACTCCTTTTTACTTAGTGATGGAAAGGTTTGGAATGCCATAAACATTATACCACTAGACAGCACTGTCGTAGTATCATACGGTTTTTACTACTGAATGTAGATACGATGAAGCTACTACGCTCCACATTGTTGTACTACTGTTAGCCTGCTGAAGTAAACCACGTTGGCAAGATCCCCGTGTTCTTTTTGTTCTTCAGCTTACACCACAGTTTCTTACTGACTTCTGTCCTGGTGATCTCACTAGAGACTGCTGTATATAAGCACCAACCATGGAGTCGAACCAAAAATGTTTTCATTTTATCAGGCTGGTTTGGAGAGTGTAATCAGGTGTTGAGTGACTGGGTGTTTTGGGATCCTTCCTGTATCATCAAACTCAAAGATATCAGAAACTCAGAAATCGTTGGTCAGAAAGATCATCAAAATCTTCTGTCTCTCATTGACCAGTGCGTACTACACCCAAAACGAGTTTGAGATTTGGTCTTTTCTAATGCTATTATTGTTTTGTTATGTAAATGATTAGTCTGATGAAAGTGTCAGAATCTCATTTTTAAATGATTTTATGATTATAAGCAAAAGAATATACATCGTTTTAAATGTTAATTTAGAAAAGGATTACGCAGTGTTTATTTTGGGAACTGATTATTTCTATGTAGTAACAGTGTATCCTGCATAATTAAAAATAATCCCGCAGTATACTTTATGTATCCTGCATAATTAAGTGCAGATGTTGTAACTGGAAGAATGACCACATTTAACAGTTAAACAAACTACTGTATTTGTACACTGCAGATAAATGATCATATAAACATGACCTGACCTTTTGATATGAACAAAATATCTCATGATGACGATAAAGAGAGGCAAATAAAGTTGTTTCCTTTGTCTGTCAACTGTATTTTTGTAAATAAAGAATATGAAGTAAATCACATTTTAATCCTCATTGAAATTAAGTGCTTTTATTTTAAAAACATTTGGATGTTGATTTTTGTTTTGCATTAAACAACATACTCAGCAAGAAATTAACAAAAAAACATAGCCTGGTTCGTTCACTGCAAAGATTATCAACCCAAAAACCTTTTCCACATGCTCCAAGTTGAGCACCACAGTGCTGGCTTCATAAATGAACTTATGAATTAAGTTGACATATTACTTCTGCTGGGGCAGCAGTCTCTGCAGGGATAATTTGCCTTCTCTGTGTAGAACAATGTAACATTGTGGGACCTGCAGACCCAAACAGACCCAGGTAGGCCAGTATATGGTCTATTAAAACAGATTAAAATGCAGCCAAGACATGACAATGTCACACCAGTATTTTGTGTCTGTGATCTGAGTTATGAACTGAACAAAGCAAGCAAAATAAATGTATGATTTGCCCACTGGTGTAGTTTGTGTGGATGGTTTGTCCATGCTAATGTTTCTATGTAATTTAAATGAATGTGGATGTTTATGATAGCGATCAACATCTATAAAAAGCCTTTTTGTGAACAAATATGTGTC